TAGGTAGGGAGGGAGGTAGGTAGGTAACTAGGTAGGTAGGTAGATAGGTATGTTTGTGTGTATGCATCTGTCCATGGATCTATCTAAGGACGAGCAACTGTCTATCTATCGATCTATCTAACCGAATACTGAACATAACCTCTATGTGTCTAATCATCTACCTATCTATCTACCTATCTACCTATCTATCTATCTACCTATCTCCCTGCCCACATCTAGCTGTTTGTCTAACTATCTATCTGTCTATCTAGCTAACCATACATATAAATATGTCTATACATATATGTGAACCCTACAAAACACGCGATTATTTGGAAAGTCACCCTCTCACTCCAACAACAGGCTCAGGACTTGAAGACTGCTGCTGCGCCCAATTTGTAATACTACGACCGTCAGGATACAGCGCCTGGTATGACAAAGCGGACATCGAACAAACTAGCTACAGTGGTATGCGTCAAAGTTCTGCTGAAATCTCAAATCCGAGCTAAGTGCGGTGCTGAGGATGAGGCAAGCCTGAGCATTGTTCCTGAATGTGAAGCGGACGGGCTCGAGTTCAAAGCTGCACGGGTCGTTACGAAGTTGGCGCTAAATCGATGTGCATGCAGCATCGACAGCCCGCGAGTGTCGCACTTGTCCCAGAACGGGGCAGGCCAATTGCGGAATTTCACAAACGGCAAGGTTCTAGAACGCGTCAAGCTAGAGGGGCACGCATCAAGGCTTTTTCGTGTGATTATACACGCTGCTTCATGAAATCAGTGTTTATCAGTCGAGGTTGCGTGGTTTATCCTATGCAGAAAGCTACGAAGCATGGGGCCGAATGGTGTCACGGGGCCAGAGATGATCAGATGTGGGAGATGCAGACGTATATATGCATGTACTACACTATGTGCTCTATACCTATTTCTAGATTCTAGATCTATATACGTATATACACACACTAGATGTCCTATACATTCTGTGCATAGACAGATACATAGATAGATAGGTAGACACACAGACAGACAAACAGAGGGACAGACAGGCGGAGAGATAAGTAAACGGATGGATAAAAAATAACCAGTTGACAGACTGATAGATAGACAGCTAGATCTGTACATGCCCGCTCCGTAGGTGACATGCATACATACGTACATACATACATACATACATACATACCTACATACCTACATACCTACATACACACATACATACATACACATGTACACATATACACATATATATATATACATGTACATTCTACTATATATGCGACATAAGACTTGATGTGCGTATATGTAAATACACATGCGCATATATGTGCAGATGAGTGTATATGTATGTAGACTGTATACGATATCTGTATGTATACATATAAGTGAATGAAAATAAATAAGTATATATATATATATATGTATATATACATATACATACTTATATAATCTTATATAGATGTAACTGTATGCATAGTCGATCATAGGATCTGTGCGGCCTTCAAGGAAGGGGAGGATCAACAGCTGCAGCTGCCGGCCCCGGAGCTCCGCAATCGAGGTGCTCTCGCACAAGACCCTTCCTCCCTCGAGGATCTGCTGCTGGAAACGACTTGCGCCTTTTCGGTTTAGGGCCTAGGGTCTAGGAGTGGGCTTAGGGCTTAGGGGTTTTGGTTTTTGGGCTCCATGAAAGCCACGAGTGTCGGGGCTTAGGCTGTAGGAGTTGGAGCTGATCCTTTTGTGCAGGGCAGTTCTAGGAATGTACCAGCAAGGATCTCATAAAGAAACGAAGTTTTCGGTCAACCCCGGCCTACCAAAGTGCTAAGGTGCTGCTTCATGGCCTTCAGCGTGTTGCCACGCTGTAGCGAGATATCTTCGACTTCCGCATCGCCAAAGACCAACTCTTTCCCGGACAGCGTCTGGAGGCAGATCATCCCTACAGTCTCGCTGCTTGCTCCAACGCTCGTTGCGCTCATCGGCTGGTCGCCTTGGCTCTTCAGCCTCATCAGTCAGGCAACCATCGGCTCCTCTTGGCTGCGACTTACCTGATGCAATGAACACACCATTTCTCTCGCGAAAGTGAGCAGCCTGCGGCTTACCAGTACTGTATTTTCAAAGTCGCTGCTCTAGGTCGGGTCATACCGGCACAAACTCTAGCAGAATCATGCACCAAGCGAAGCATGTGCCTTTGAGCAAAAAGACTCCAGGACGGAACATGCCCAATTGCTTCAAAATGCAGCTTCGTGTCCTGTGATCGTCACTACAAGAAGATTGCTTGAGTCAGTAATCCAATATAGGGGCATAATAACAAATAGAATCTTATTTCCTAAGCCCCTAACAGGATTATAGAACAAACCACAACCTTACTCCAATTACATATTAAAATAAAATAAGGCCCCGGATGAGCACAAAACCTCGCCTGAGCCTTTGGGTTGTGAACATCCACCATGGTGCAGAGGACCGGAATCGTGTCGGTTGCGAGAGTATTTCCCATGATGACCTCGGAGTGGCAGTTTGACGGGACCGTAAAGACAGACCCCGCTGGTATCTCAGAGGATCCTCCCTATAATATAATCCCTAAACCCTACACCCTAAACCCTAAACCTAAACCCTAATCATAAGGACTTACAACCCCCGCTAGTGAATACGAGGATCTGTGCTGCCAGGACCCCTAAAACGGCCCCTAATTTTCTGAACCCCGCGAATCGCACCCTCAACCGCTGTCTTGAACCTAAACCCTGAACCCCAAACCCCGAAAGTCCATAATTCACCCCGGAATCTGGAACCCTAAACGTCAACCCGAGAGTACCCTTGAAGGAACCCGCCAAAAAGTCTCAAAAGAACCCTCACAGGGACTCATAAATGGAACCGCAGACGTCTGAAAGTTGCGACGAGCATCTGGTCCAGCCCAAACGGGTGATCCTCCTCAGCCGCGAGCAGAACAAGTATAGTTTTGGACCGAGGAGGATCATTAACAGGGTTCAGGGCCTTTAGGGTTTAAGGTTTACTTTAGGGTGCAGGGTTGTAAGGTTCAGGGTTGAGAACGAACCGAAACTCCTCGAAGAGTTGACGGGTAGCAATCCTTCCAACCTACCAAAGCCAGCTGCAATTAGGCGAGGCACGCTATACGAAGGGGAACGTGGCTGTGCAGACTTGTGCTTTGAGCCAAGAAGCACCCTTGCACATCACATGGGCACTGCCTTACGGTTGATGATATGAACCCCGCATTACCCATAACAAAGAATATACCATAACTCCCATGGTTTAGGGTCATTAAGGTAATGCAGGGTTTAAATCATCAACCGTATGTCGCCCCAGCAGGCGCCCTACTCAAGTCGTCACAGAGGCAGGCTTTGGGTTTCCGGGTTCTAGGTAGGGTTTACCCGAAATCCTAAAACCCTAAACCCCAAACCCCAGGGTTTTGATACTCTAAGGGTAAGGGTACCCATAAGGGTACCTACAAAGGTACCTATAAGGGTTTTTGTCGTCTCACTTCGCACTTCTTCCGGATGGGCCGTCAGCAGTCTTTGCTTCGAGCACCCGGACTTGCAATCTTTGTGCAAGATCCTACGCCGAATCGCACATAAAATGAAGGAAAGGACCGGGCGCGAAGCATGACACTCGATGTTCTGATCCCTCATTACCTTGCACCTTGAGCCTGTTCCTTCTCCTCTGTTTCAGCATCTTCTGCTGCCAGGCATTGGCACACTGTGCGAACTCATGCTGGCTCCATAGCTGTCGGTGCTGCGACAACACTGAGGACACCTCCAATATCAACACCTCTATCGTGGTGACTCAACAAAGCAAATCGCCGATGGTCAAGAGCCAGCTGAACACGCAGGCATATTGTACTATAAAAAGGGGGTCGATGAGCGCTCCGGCGGGAACCGAAGCTACTAAACTAGTCGAAGTTTCTGCAACTCTTTAGGGACCCTGGTTGGCTGCCACAGATTCGGCTTCTTGGTGGTGGAGTGTTCGGGCCAAGTAGAAAAAAGAACACCCCAAACTTCAATCACGAAGTAAGCACTGAACCCTCAACCACACACCTCTGGGTCTTCCACTGGCTTCGCTTGAGCTAAGCTAGGTTCTCATGCTTCGAGCGAGCCGATGTTTTGGTCCGGCTATGCCCACTATACTACATGTTCTGTGATAGCACGTAATACTGTATTAGACTTCATTATACTGTATTGCACGTTATTCTGCTGCATTTTACTACATGATACTACATCAAATACAAAACATACATTCTGCCATCTGACACGGTCTGGCATCGTCTGCTTTACAGCAACCC